AAGAAAAAGAACTGGGGAAAAAAAAATCACGAAATATCGCGGCCCTGGCCATCGAAACTACACGGCTATGGATGAAACACGTGAGAGTGATACCCATGGTCATCGGGGCACTCGGTACCATGTCCAAGAATTTTATAAGATACATCAACAAATTGCAGCTTCCTGCAATAACACGCAAAAAAACTGCGCTACTCGGAACATCGTACATCTTAAGAAGGTACTTGGTTGGTCCCTAGGACGCTGGCAGCAACCCGTATCAACCATTAGCGCCAGTCAATGGTATTTGTGATGCATTTTTGAATGTTCAGTTGACTTGAGTTTGAGATTTAATGAATTAAGTAAATTATAATAATAATAAATAAATCAAAAGTAAAATTAGCTTTTTGACAAGTGAAACTGAGCTTCAGGAAGGAAGGAAGGAAGAAAAAAAAAGAGAGAGAAAGAAACATTATCTAATAAACCGCCCCAGACCTTGTTGTTAAGAAAAAGGGAAATGCCACCCTGGAGATACAAGCGAGAAATCAACAACATTAACGCAACACTGGAGATATTACAAAGCCTTTGGAAGTGTGCTTGTTAGCGGGAAAAATATTGACCAAGGAAGCAGAGCTCTTGATAAGTCGAAAGGGGTATTTGGCTGAAGGATTTAAAAAATGATCTTTTTCAACTCCATCAACCATCCAGAGAAATATTTATCCTTTCCCTTAAGAGATAAACCTCTTTCTTTGCGATAGGGAGAGAAAAAAGCTGTGCTACTTTTGCATTGACAGAAAGAGAGGCAGTCCTCAACTTGCGACCACGATGGGGCCCAGAATATCCGCTGCTGGCAGTGGGTTAAGTCGGCGGAGCCTGATTTTTACGACCTTTCTCGTTTAGCAGCTGTTAAGCGAATCACGCGGTCGATTCAGCGAATCCGGCTTTCCCCCCTTGTCGGAAGCCGGCTGGGAAAGTCAGTAACTGAGTTGGATGGGACCTTGGAGGTCATTTAGTCCAACCCCAAGTCCCGCTCACGCGGGAAACTTGTGCTAGGGATTCGAAACCGCCGAACTGCCGACCTTTCTGATCAACGAGCTCGCTTGTCTTAGCCATTGAGCCACCTAGTCCGTCGCAAATAGTGACGGATGCTGCGACCGTCGTAAATGCTTAGCTGGTTGCTAAGCACCCACATTTTGATCGGGTGAGGATGCTGGGATGGTCAGAGGTGGAAAGCTCGTCTTTTAAGAAGAGCTTGGGTGAAGCGGTGTAAGGTTTCCTGCCTAAGCAGGGGGTTGGACTAGAAGACCTCCGAGGTCCCTTCGAACTCTGTGATTCTGCATTCTGTAACACATTTTATATATTATTATTTTTTTCGCTTCTCGTCCCAAGAAGCTTCTTCAGCTCTGATCGGATGGAGGGGAACGGAAGGATTGATCTTCCTTGCAGGCAGCTGGTCGTTTGCATCCTTTTTAGAGGGTCGTTGAGGCCACTTGGGAGGTTTCTCTGTGTGCTCGGAGGTCACCTGAGTAGGGCAAATGGTTTCTGTAGTCCGCAGTTTTTTAGACTTTTAGCTACGCGATTTGGGATACGCACCCTTTGAATGGGGTGGGAGTAGGAACGGATTTCCAGAAAAAAAAAATTGCAGACTACAGGAATCATTTGCACCACTCAGGTGATCCTGAGGACACAGGTAAACCTCCAAGTTTCAAACCTCAACGACGTTCTCAAAGGATGCAAATGACCAGCTGTCTGCAAGGAGTATAGATCCTTCCGTTCTCCTCCATCCGGTCAGAGTTGAAATGCAGATGGGCTGCTGAATCTTATCTGATGGGTTTGTTCTGTTGTGTTGTGCCACGCATTTGTGAAGTGGCTGTTTTGTTTCCCCAATGTACATCATCTCTCTCCAGTCTACAACAGTCCCTTCAGCAGTTCCAAGAAGGCTCCCCACCCCATTTGTACCACTCAGATGACCCCGAGAACAAAGAGAAACCTCCAAGTGGCCTCAACGACCCTCTAAAAAAGGATGCAAATGACCACCTGTCTACAAGGAAGATCAATCCTTCCCTTCCCCTCCATCCAGTCAGAGCTGAAGAAGCTTCTCGGATGAGAAGCGAAATGTCTTCAAAAGAAAAAAAATAACCACAAAATCCAGTTGCCTCTTGAAAAAAAAGTTAGAAAAGGCACCATTCTTCCAAAACCAGATTTTCTGATTATTTTTTTTTGCACAAAAGACAAAAAGAACCCTCAAATTGGAACAAGCAAAACTAGTTAAATTGGCTACGTAGCTCCACCAGCTGCCAATGTTGGTCGGAAGTTGGTTTAAAGCAAGAGAGGAAATTCTCAGTAACATGTTGGCACCGAGGCCCTTCAATCTGAGGAAGTGCTCGTCACCGGAACCACGCGGCGGATTGAGCACACAATAACTTTGCACTCAGGGAGTATACGGTAACGTCAGCGTAGTATCCGAGATGTACGATGCACCTCAAATTTGAACAACCTGTAACTCAGATCATGTTGTGGGAAGGAGGGAGAGATTTGGGGGGACGGACAACAATGTTCTTCTTGGGTAACCCCAATTGGCCTTACAATAAGCATGGGGAGATTGGAGGTAGTCCTCGGCTTACGACCACAATGGAATTCAGAATTTCCTCCGCTAAGAGAGTTTCGCCCAATCTGATTCCTGGGTTTTATTATTTATTCTCGCTGTTTTAGACTGGTTTTAATTCCGTTTCCTTTTATTATTGTATGTTTTTAACCTGTGTTCGCCGCCCTGAGTCCTTAGGGAGAAGGGCGGCATATAAATTTGTGTATATAAATAAATAAATAAATTTTGCCGCTTTTTTGGGGGCCAGTTAAGCGCTAAATGTTAAATGAATCAAAAGGCTATTCCTCGAATTGAGTTTGATTCCTGGCGAAACGACCCCGGGACGCGGCAATACCGTCGTAAAGACACATCAGTTTTGCCAAGTGCCCAAATTTGGCTCACGGGATTGTCCAAGGATGCCGCAACGGCCGTAAGCGTGAGGACTATGTCCTATGTCGCTTTTTTTTTTCCAGTGCTGTTGTAACTTCGGAGCCTAAGGCAAAGGGTTGTAAGATGAGGACCACCTGGCTCCAATGAATTCACAAGCCAGCATCCCCACCAATGACCGCAGAACGACCGAGCCGTCCACACAGTGGAAGAATCACAAGCCTTCTTCTCAAGCCACAAGATCTGTCCCACCATGGCTCAGGGGCTAAGACGCCGAGCTTTGTCGATCAGAAAGGTTGGCAGTTCAGTGGTTCGAATCCCTAGTACAGATCTCCTGTGTGAGCAGAGGGCTGGACTAGATGACCTCCAAGGTCCCTTCGGTTACTGTACCATATCCAGACGTAGAAAAAAAAAAACCATGTTTCACCTGTCCATCATCAACACCCCTTTCAAATCTTCCTACACTCCTCTTCTCTCCCCCCCTCCTCCCAAATTTATGGGATGTCCACTTCAAAGCAGAGGGGGAGGGGCTAATCAACTGGACCACTCCCCATCCGACTCCTTTTTGGGGGCGGGGGAACCCAGGAGGAAGAGGGAAGGTTGGGTGGCATCGCTACTTCCTTCGCCCTCATCCCAGGTGGCTGGGGATGATGGGAAGAAGTCCATCAGCCAAGGGTCTTTCGCAGAGGGAGATGATGGGAGGTGGGTTACCATCCTAGGGTTCTTTCGGTGGTTGGGGATGATGGGAGGTGGGAACCCCTTCTCCCCCCGGAAGTCTTTGGGTGGCTGGGGATGAGGAGAACGGAGTGGCTTTGAGTGGCTGGGGAAGATGGGTTCCCATCCCGGAGGTGGGGTATTTTAGTACCTGGGGATGATGGAAGGTGGGCCTCCACCCAGAGGTCTCTTAACAGCTGGGGATGATGGGAGTCCTCTGTAGCTGGGGATGATGGGAAGTGGGCGGCACATCAGAGGTCTTTTGACAGCTGGGGATGATGGGAGGCGAGCTGCCATCCAGTTTTCTTTTAACAGGTGGGATGATGGGAAGTGGGCCCCCACCCTAGGGGTCTCTCAAGAGCTGGGGATGATGGGAGGCGAGCTGCCATCAAGTGTTCTTTTTAACAGCTGGAGATGATGGGAGGTGGGCCCCACACCAGAAGTCCACTAGACCTGGGAATAATAGGAGGTGGGCCCCCACCCCAGAGGTCTCAACAGCTGGGGATGATGGACTCCTCTGGAGCTGGGGATGATGGGAAGTGGGTTCCCCACCCCTGAGTTCTCTTTAACAGTTGGGGATGATGGACTCCTCTGCTGAGGATGGACTCCCCTGAGTTCTCTTTAACAGCTGGGGATGATGGGATGTGGGTTCCCCACCCCAGGGGGTCTCTCAAGAGCTGGGGATGATGGGAGGTGAGTTTACAATCCCAGCCTTCTTTCAACAGCTGGGGATGATGGACTCCTCTGGAGCTGGGGATGATGGGAAGTGGATCCCCCACCCCAGGGGGTCTCTCAAGAGCTGAGGATGATGGAGGTGAGTTTACAATCCCAGCCTTCTTTCAACAGTTGGGGATGATGGACTCCTCTGGAGCTGGGGATGATGGGAAGTGGGTTCCCCACCCCAGGGGGTCTCTCAAGAGCTGGGATGATGGGAGGTGAGTTTACAATCCCAGCCTTCTTTCAACAGCTGGGGATGATGGGACTCCTCTGGAGCTGGGGATGATGGGAAGTGGGTTCCCACTCCACGGGGTCTCTCAAGAGCTGGGGATGATGGGAAGTGGGTCCCCACCCGAGTTCTCTTTAACAGCTGGGGATGATGGACTCCTCTGGAGCTGGGGATGATGGGAAGTGGGTTCCCCACCCCAGGGGGTCTCTCAAGAGCTGGGGATGATGGGAGGTGGGCCCCCACCCCTGAGTTCTCTTTAACAGCTGGGGATGATGGACTCCTCTGGAGCTGGGGATGATGGGAAGTGGGTTCCCCACCCCTGGCGTTCTCTTTAACAGCTGGGGAGGATGGGAACTGACCCTCCCTCCCCACCCAAACCCCCGAGCCGCTCACCTGGGCACGCAGCTGGGGGAGCTCCGGTCCACCTCCCAGGTGGCGTAGAGGTTCATCTGCACGGGGCGACCCCCGGCCGTCGAGCCCGGCGGGGCCTGAGGAGGGGGCGCCCCTCCTCCTCCTCCTCCTCCTCCGGGAGCCGAAGAAGCCCCCAGGCCCGCCGAGGGCTGCGGGGGCGGCGGCGACGCCGAGGGCTGCGGCAGCGGCGGAGGCACCGCCGGCGGGGCCAGCAGCTGAGCCGTCCCGGTTAGCGCCGGGGACCCCGCCGAGGGCTGTGGAGCCGAAGCCGGGGCGCAAGGCGCCGGCTGGAGCAGCGAAGGGCCCGCCGCGGAGCCCCGGGGGCCGCCCAGCACCGACGCCCCTCGCTCCGCCATGGCGCCCGCCGCGCGCGCGGGACCCTCCGCCTTTCCCTCAGCCGCGCCGCGGCTGGACTGACAGACGGGCGCGCGGACCCGCAGAAAAGCCCGCCCCTTCTCCCGGCGCGCCCCGCCCACACGCACGCACGCACGCACGCACGCCAGGCGTCGCTTCCACACACACCCGCTAGGGGCGGGGCAGAGAGGAGCAGAAGAAATGAGAAAAAAAAAAACCCCAAAGGCGGAGCTTCTCTTCTTCACCGCCCACCCCCCCGCTCGGCGACGATTGGTCCAGCCCCGGACGCCCGTCATCTTTTTTTTGTTGTTATTGTTGTTGCTGTTTAAATCCCCGCCCACGAGGGCGGGTTCTCCTGCTTCTATCCGCCTCTCCGCCTGAGTGGTTCTCCTTTGCGTCCGACACTTAGAGAGAGGTGGCCGGGGGGAGGGGGGGGGGAGTTACGGTTTCGTGGAGATGGATAGATGAGGGAGGATGGGTGGATGGATAGAAAGAAGAAAGGGATAGAAATGGATAGATGGATGGATGGATGGATAGAGAGAGAGGATAGAGAAGATGACAGATAATTGGATGGATGGAATGGATGGATAGATAGAAACAGATTAGATAGATAGATGATAGATATGGATGGATAATTATATGGATGTATAGATAGAAAGATTAGATAGATAGATAGATAGATAGATGATAGATATGGATGGATAGAAACAGAGAGATTAAATGGATGGATGGACACAGAGAGATTAGATGGATGGATAATTAGATGGATGGATGGATAGATAGATAGATAGATGGATGGATGGATAGATAGATAGATAGATATGGATGGATAGAAGATAGAGAGAGATTAGATGGATGGATAGAAAGAAAGATTAGATAGATAGATAGATAGATAGATAGATAGATAGATAGATAGATAGATAGATAGATAGATAGATAGATATGGATGGATAGATAGAAACAGAGAGAGATTAAATAGATGATGGATGGATAGATAGATAGATATTGTAGATAGACAGAAGATAGAGAGAGATTAAATGGATGGATGGAAACAGAGAGATTAGATGGATGGATAATTAGATGGATGGATGGATGGATAGATAGATAGATGGATGGATAGATAGATATTGTAGACAGAAGATAGAGAGAGATTAGATGGATGGATAGAAAGAAAGATTAGATAGATAGATAGATAGATAGATAGATAGATAGATAGATATGGATGGATAGATAGAAACAGAGAGAGATTAAATGATGGATGGATGGAAACAGAGATTAGATGGATGGATAATTAGATGGATGAATAGATAGAAACAGATTAGATAGATAGATAGAAATGGATGGAGAGGATAGATAGAAACAGAGAGATTAGATAGATGGATGGGTGGGTGGGTGGGTGAATGGATGGATGCAGGAAAATAATTAGATAAGACAGACAGACACAGACAGACGGGTGGGTGGGTGAGTGGATGGATGGATGGATAGGAAAATAGATTAGATAGATAGACAGAAAGAAATGGATGGAGAGGATAGATAGAAACAGAGAGATTAGATGGATGGATGGGTGGGTGGGTGAATGGATGGATGGATAGATAGATATACAGAAGGCAGGAAAGAACGAAGAGATAGATGGACAGATACAGAAGTAAGGCAGAAAAGAAGAAAGGAATAGATAGAACTATAGATAGATCCACCTCCCTAGCTTTACTATTCTTTTTAGACCTCATTTTTTCCAAACAGTGGGAGAAAATATTTTTTTTTTACATAAATCCAGACACACACAGATGTACACCCACCCACCCCCCAAAAATGGGTTTTTTAAAAACATACACAGACCAAAAAGTGGGGGTGGGGGCACGACGACTCACAGACACCAAACATCTTCTGCCTCGTTTCCCCAACAAGCAAGTTGGCCCATTTCTCCTGGGGTGAAATTGAAGGGGGGGAAGGAGCCTCCAATTTATTTCTTTGTTAAATATATTTCCTACCTAAGGTTTTTTTAAAAAATCTTAATTTGTAGAGAAGAGCGGTAAAGGACCATCCTGCCAATCATTTTTCAAGCAAGGTAAGGGATGGTTGGGGGTGGGGTGGGGGTGAAAAGTCGAAAAGTTAAAATGCTTCAGCTCTCTGGGTACTTTTGGTACTCTGAGCTTGGTGGTTTTCTTGGAGACGTTTCATGACCCAACTAGCTAACCTCATCAGTGCTAGAAGGAGGGAGGAGGAAGAGGAAGAGGAGGAGAACTGTGGGGTCTGATGCTCTCTGAGCTGGGTGCTTTTCTTGCAGATTTATTTTATTTATTTATTTTATTCAATTTGTATACCGCCCTTCTCCTAGTGGACTCAGGGCGGTGCACAGCCAGAACTAAAACACATACCAATACAAAATTTAAAATTATTAAAAGAATTACATACTTTGGCCCAAATTCAAAACAATTCAAATTAAAACCCAGTGACAATTTAAAAGCTAAAAAAACTAAAAAAGACTAAAAATGTTTCATGACCCAACTAGCTAACATCATCAGTGCTAGAAGGGGGAAGGAGGAGGAAAATTGTGGGGTCCTGGGTGCTCTCTGAGCTGGGTGGTTTTCTTGCAGACGTTTCATGACCCAACTAGCTAACCTCATCAGTGCTACTGTTTCAACCCTGAGCTACAAATACTCTTTATTGATGGAATAATTTAAATTTTGGTGCTGCGAGGAAAGGAAGGTTTGGTTCAGCCCACAATGATATATTTATTTGTTTTCGAAGCTGGACAAAGCTTTAAAAGATGCACACCCGAGGAAGGAACACAAAAGAGGTTTATTGGATCCCAGTGTTCTTACAACGACGCGTCGTATCTTCGGAACCGAGAAGGGGGGGGAAAAAAGCTGGAAAGAAATTTTCTCCCCTGTGAATCTTCTTACACGTCGTTTTCGTAGTCGGCCGGGTTCTTCCTCTTCAATTTTTTATTGTAGCTGTTTCCCCAGGAATAAACCATGTACGCAATGACAAATTCTTTAAAAAAAAACACACACAAAACAGAAGGAAAATTTAGAGTTGCGCATCCAACTTTGAAGGGACCAACGTCTCCAACTTTTTTATCCTTTCCTACAGAATATAGGTAATCCTCGACTTACGACCATCCTTGAGCCCCGGATTTCCGTCGCTAGGCGAGACATTTGTTCAGTTGAATCTTGTACCCATGTTACGACCTGTCTTGCCACGGTTACGAAGTGAATCACTGGAGCTATTTAAGTCAGTCACACAGCTGTTAAGTGAATCTGGCTTCACTTCGGTCGCAAAAAGGGGATCGCGTAACCCCGGGACACTGCGACAGTCGTAAATATGAGTCAGTTGCCAAGCGCCTGAATTTTGATCCTATGACCATCGTGACGATGCAATGGTCGGAAGGGTGAAAATTGGTCAAGTCCCTTTTTTTTCACTGATGCCGTAACTCTGAACGGTCACTAAATGGGACTGCTGTAAATCCAAGACCACCTGCGTAATTTCCCCCACGGCTTCGAGTGTTCTCTTCGCTTTGTGTCTAAATGTGTGTAGAGATTCTCAGTCATCCTGGACTTTCTGGGTTTTTTTCTTTTGAAGACGTTTTGCTTCTCATCCAAGAAGCTTCTTCAGCTCTGACTGGATGACGGAGAATGGAAGGGTTGATCTTCCTTGCAGACAGCTGGTCATTTGCATCCTTTTTAGAGGGTCGTTGAGGCCACTTGGAGATTTATCTGTGTCCTTAAAGTCACCTGAGAGGTGCAAATAGGGTGGGGAGCCTTCATGGAACTGCTGAAAGGATTGTGTTGTAGACAGGAGATAGATGATGTCGTATCCCTCTGGTGAGGGAGGGCTGTTCAATTTGGACCTAGATGGCCTCTTGGACCCCTCTCTCAAACCAGCGGTCCTCTTTGTCCAAAATGTGGACTTTGTTGTCTTCAAAAAAGCGGCCTTTGTTTTTGAAATGCAGATGGGCTGCTGAATCTTATTTGATGGGTTTGTTCTGTTGTGTTGTGCCATGCGTTTGTGAAGTGGCTGTTTTGTTTCCCCAATGTACACCATCTATCTCCAGTCTACATCAGTCCGTTCAGCAGTTACAAGAAGGCTTCCTCACCGTTTGCACCACTCGGAGGACACAGGTAACCTTCCAAGTGGCCTCAACGACCCTCTAAAAAAGGATGCAAATGACCAGCTGCCTACAAGGAAGATCAATCCTCCCCTTCCCCTTCATCTGGTCAGAGCTGAAGAAGCTTCTCGGATGAGAAGCGAAACGTCTTCAAAAGAAAACAAGAAACCCCAATTGCCTCCTGAAAAAAACACACCTTCGGATCGTGTCTCAGTGGCAATTCCCAAAATTGAATCCCCCCCCCACTCGCTTAGGCCCGGATTGTGCTAATCAAAACGATATCAATGCGCTCTTAACGCAGGTTATAAATGTAGGGATTACAGTAATCGCCTCCGGAGCTCTCTGAACGCATTCGAAGTGCCGTACGCAAATCCTTGACGGCTAGTATGATCGGCAAGGCAAAAAAACCCACTAATCCTTAAACTAGACGATCTTTGCAATAAAGCGATGGAGAACAGAGGCGGAGAAGACGCAACCAGCTTAGCTGCCAAAGCGGCCCCGGCTGCTATTTTTTGCACGCTTGCCTAAGCCCGCTGAATTCATATTTCAACGACGTGTTTTATTCATCGAACGGCTTCCGCGCTTCGTTCTCCTTGCTGTTTTTTTTAATTTTTTTTATCAAGTTGCCAGGGATTAAGGAGGGCCACGCATAAAGCTTTTAAAAATGAGAATTATAAAAAAAATAATAAGGACGGATTTTCTGTGCTGCTCGCGTGCGCCACCTTGAGCTTTCCATCGGAAACTTTTCTAAATAAATAACACGAATTCCGAAGTTGAGACTTTGGGGGAAAAAAAAACAACAGTTCAGAGAAGAGCAGCTGAGAGGATCAAAAGGCCTGGAGGCTAAACTGTACGAAGAACGGCTGCAGGATTTGGGTCAGGTTAGTCTAAAGAAAAGAAGAATTAGGGGCGACAGGATAGCGGTATTCCAGGATTTGAGGGGCTGCCACAAAGAAGAGCGGGGGGTAGGGGTCTGGGGAGGGTCAAATTATTCTACAAAGCGCTGGAAGGCAGGACAAGAAGGAATGGATGGAAACTAAACAAGGAGAGAAGGAACCTGGAATTAAGGAGAAACTTCCCGACGCTGAGGACAATTAACCAGTGGAACAGCTTGCCACCAGAAATCGCGAGCGCTCCAACGCTGGAGGTTTTAAAGAAGAGACTGGACAGTCACTTGTCTGAAATGGTATAGGAAATGTTCTCCTGTGTGAGCAGAGGGCTAGACTAGAAGACCTCCAAGGCCCCTTCCAGCTCTATATTCTCTCTTCTCTTCTCTAAAATTCTATTCTATTCTATTCTATTCTATTCTATTCTATTCTATTCTATTCTATTCAGAATCCTATTCTATTCAGAATCCTATTCTATTCTATTCTATTCTATTCTCCATTCCATTCCATAATTCTATTCTATTCTATTCCATAATTCTATTCTATTCTATTCTATTCTATTCTATTCTATTCCTATTCTATTCTATTCTATTCTATTCTATTCTATTCCATTCCATTCCATTCCATTCCATTCTATTCCATTCCATAATTCTATTCCATTCCATTCCATTCCATTCCATTCCATAATTCTATTCTATTCTATTCTGTTCCATTCCATTCCATAATTCTATTCTATTCTATTCCATAATTCTATTCTATTCTATTCTATTCTATTCTATTCTATTCTATTCTATTCTATTCATATTCTCTATTCTATAATTCTATTCTATTCTATTCCATAATTCTATTCTATTCTATTCTATTCTATTCATTCTATTCCATTCCATTCTATTCCATTCCATAATTCTATTCCATTCCATTCCATTCCATAATTCTATTCTATTCTATTCTATTCTATTTCTATTCTATTCTATTCCATAATTCCATTCCATTCCATTCCATAATTCTATTCTATTCTATTCTGTTCCATTCCATTCCATAATTCTATTCTATTCTATTCCATAATTCTATTCTATTCTATTCTATTCTATTCTATTCTATTATTCTATTCTATTCTATTCTATTCTATTCTATTCTATTCCATTCCATTCCTTCATTCCATTCCATAATTCTATTCCATTCCATTCCATTCTATTCCATAATTCTATTCTATTCTATTCTGTTCCATTCCATTCCATAATTCTATTCTATTCTATTCCATAATTCCATTCCATTCCATTCCATAATTCTATTCTATTCTATTCCATTCCATTCCATCCACTCCCCAAAAACTAAGCTGCGTCTTTTACCGTATCTGAAAAATACGGTACATCAGGTTACTTAACTTTAACAACTGCACACAGTGTGGCAAGGAAGGTTGTAAAACGGGGGCAGAGCTCAGTTCACCGCCTCGCTTATCGACAGGAATGTTGGCTTCCATTGTGGCCGTACGTCGAGATCTACCTGTAATTTCAGAAACCTAAGCCGCCACTCCTCAAGGGTGGGGAAACTGGGCGAGCAAAGATTTATAGAGCAAAACTTTTCCTGCTCTCTCCACTTACGAGGTGTCACCCTGAAGAACGAGGAGCTAAATCGTCTCCACGTGTTTACCATCCTGTGTGAGATGTTGGGGAACATTTTCTGTTCAAACGGAGACAGGTAGTAGCTGACAACGTGCCTCGTTTTCATCAGGTTTCCAAATTGTTTCCCCATCTTGGCCGATTGCTCTGCGGAAAACAAAAAGAAAAAAAAAAAAGAGGACAGCATAAATTTTAATCAATAAAGGAAACGGTTAGGACGGTTACCTATAGTAGTGGCCAAAATTGTGGAAACCTTTTTGGGAAAAGTGGATTTTCTAAAAACTAGCTAATAACACCATTTTTTTTTGGAGTAGTACCATAAAATTATATATCAATGGAAAAATAATTTAATCAAGAATGTAAGGCAGTAATTTTTATGAAGGATTTGCTGTTAGAATAGCAGTTACAGTATAAAGAAGAAAAGTGAAACACGCAGAAAAAACGAGATATACAAAAATGATCACCATAGAAAAAAACAAGATATACAAAAATGATCCCCATGTCAGTTAATACTTTGTTGGGTAAACTTTAGCATGAATGACGGCCTTACAACGTCTTCCCATGGAGGGAACCAAGTCTTTCAGTTCTGCAGCTGTTATGTGAAACCAAGATGGAATGATGGCTTCTATTAACTGGGTTTTATTGCTGGGTCGCTTCTGACTAACCAGTTTCTTTAGTCGGCTCCATAGATTTTCAATTGGGTGAAGGTCTGGGCTATTCCCAGGCCATTCCAGCAGTGGAATAGGATTATCTTGAAACTCCCCCCAAAAAGTGGTGTTATTAGCATCAAACCTCAAAAATACACTTTTCCCAAAAGGTTTCCACAATTTTCGCCACTAAAAGGTAAAGGTAAAGGTTCCCCTCACAGATACGTGGTAGTCGTTCCCGACTCTAGGGGGCAGTGCTCACCTCCGTTTCAAAGCCGAAGAGCCAGCGCTGTCCGAAGACGTCTCCGTGGTCATGTGGCCGGCATGACTCAACGCCAAAGGCGCACGGAACGCTGTTCCCTCCCCACCAAAGGGGGTCCCTATTTTTCTACTTGCATTTTTTTTTACCTGCTTTCGAACTGCTAGGTTGGCAGAAGCTGGGACAAGTCACGGGAGCTCACCCCGTTACGCGGCACCAGGGATTCGAACTGCTGAACTGCCGACCTTTCGATCGACAAAAGCTCAGCGTCTTAGCCACTGAGCCACCGTATTTGTAAAGATAAGCACGTTGTTGTGAGGTCGGAGAACCATTTTAAAGGCATTGGGGGAATAACAGATTAACAGAGTTGGAAGGGAGCTTGTAGGTCATCTAGTCTAACCCCGCCTGTCTTAGGTATGAAGCCAGTTAGGCTGACTTTGGACCGGTCCCTAGGAAGGAGGAAATAAGGACAAGAGCCTCGGTGGTGCAGCAGACTAAGTGCTGTTAAGTGCTAGCACTTAGCTGCCAGCTGCCTGCAATTAGTGCGAGTTCAAATCCCAAGGTTGACTCAGCCTTCCATCCTTTCGAGGTAGGTAAATTGAGGACCCAGATTGTGGGGGCAATAAGCCAGCTTTGTATAGAACAACACCACTTGGGAAGGCCCCTCGAAAGCCCTAATAAGCAGGTATATACATAAAAGTATGCAGGCTATTGCTATAATGCATTGTAAGCTGCCCTGAGTCTACGGAGAAGGGCGGCATATAAATTGGACTAATACATACATACATACATACATACATACATACATACATACATAAAACCCACTTCTGAAAATGCTGCCAAGAAAATGTCATGGGCTTGTCCAGATAATCACCACGAATCAAGACTGACATGAATGCCTTCAATGTAAACATGCACACATTCTAGTCTATAGAGAAGAAAAGGATTGGGGGGGGGGGTGACCTGATAGCAGTCTGCCAATATTTGAGGGGCTGCCCCCAAAGAAGATTTTGGGAGGGGGGGGTTCAACCTATTCTCCAAAAGCCCCTGAACAAGAAGCAACGGATGGAAACTCATCAAGGAGGGAGAGAGAGAGAAGCAACCTGGAATGAAGGAGAAACTTCCTAACGGTTAAGACAATTAGCCAGTGGAACTACTCGCCACCAGAAGTTGTGGGTGCTCCATTATTGGGAGGTTTTTAAGAAGAGACCGGACAGCCATTTCTCTGCAGTGGTATATAGGGTCTCCTGCTTGAGCAAGGGGGGGTGGTGGACTAGATGACCTCCAGGGTCCCTTCCAACACCGTTCTCCAGTATTCTAGTCCAACATTCCCCCCCCCCTCCTCAAGCTGGAAACCACACTTGAGTGCTTCTGCATGGGAGATTTGGCCCAATAAATCTGAATGCACGTCTATAAGACGATCCCTGGTAGGATTTTGGGCTCAGGCTGGCCTACCTCGCAGGGTTGTTGTGGAGGTCCCAAACAAAAAACCACCCCAAAGGAAGGAAGGGGAGGGAGCTCCCGCAAAAAGAACACGGAACAAATCTACTCAAGACTTTTTTTAAAAAAAAGAAGAATTTAACCTTAAAAAAATGCCCGACACGCGTGAATTCGTCCAGACGATCCTGCGTGGAGAAGTCACCCTTTTCTCCTCCAGCTTCAACCGCCCTTCTCTTCCGCTTCCGGTTTGTTTAGCGTGTTTTTGACGTCACTTCCGCCTACAGGAAAGGAGATTGAAGTCGGACGCGCCCACACCCATCATGGCGGCGCCGGAGGGGCGCGCGTGGCTAAGGCGCATGCGCGCGCCCTTGTGTTGACGTTCAGCCGTGGGAAAGATGGCGGCGCTCAGAGCTTTGAGGAGGCTGCGGGCACCTTCAGGACCGTGGCTGCCCGGGAGGGCTCTGGGGGCGGCTCCCAGCCGGTAATTTCCCCCTTTTCGACCCCGCCTGGAGGGAGAGAGTCTCATTTCTGGCAGGAAACCCGCGGGAAAAGGAAAGGAGGCTTGGTGAACCCTTTTCCTAGAGACGCAGCAGGTTTCTAGTCCTCATGGAGGTCCCCATTGGACCTAAGAGGGTTTTTGACGGTTAGAAAGGAAGGGAGGGCGCTCTGCACATGCCCAGAGGGATGGGAGGCTGTTACACACACACACACACCTCCATTGATGCTTGGATTTTGGATAAATTTTGCTTTGGGGGAGGGGCAACCATAGTATAGGGGGCTGGACTAGAGGACCTCCAAAGTCCCTTCCAGCTCTATTCTATTTTATTCTACCCTCAGGGTCAGGGAAGCTTCCCCCGCCCCACTGTTTTGGCATAATCCTGGCCAGGATGCAAGGAAAGGCTGTTTTCTGGCACAATGGGTTGTGGGGAGGGGGGATGCCACCCAAAAGGCCCTGATGCTTAAAAGGGATCTTTTAATTTATTGCACTTTATTGATTTGATTTCTTTTTGTTCGCTTTTTAGGGTTTTATGGGCGAATAAACGGCAATAGAGATTCAATGAATACAGAAATACCAATCAATCAATCAATAGATGGCAATATAAATTCAATAAATACAAATAAATAAATAATGGGCCAATAGGCAGCAATTCAATAAATAAAATGGGCGAATGGGCGGCAATATAAGAGCCTTGGTAGTACAGTGGTTTAAAGCACCCTGTTATTAACACAGCTGCCTGCAATTACTGCAGGTTCGAATCTTACCAGGCTCAAGGTCGACTCAGCCTTCCATCCTTTCTAAGGTAGGTTAAATGAGGACCCAGTTTGTGGGGGCAATAAGCTGACTTTGTATAAAATATACAAAAGTATGAAGGCTATTGCTTAACGCATTGTAAGCCGCCCTGAGTCTCCGGAGAAGGGTGGCATATAAATCAAATTAAAATATATATATATATAAATTCAATAAATACCAATGAATGAATGAATGAATAAATAAATAATGGGCAAATAGGCGGCAATATAAATTCAATAAATAAATAGAAACGGGCAAATAGGCGGCAATATAAATTCAATAAATAAATAATGGGATAGGTGGCAATATAAATTTCAGCCGTTCTCATTTTTCCTTTCTTTCAGAGGGAAACAATGGCAGCCCGATATGGATTTTATGAAGGAGCTGGAAGGAGCCGTCATGTACCCCAGCAAAGTGACAGAAAAATGGGTCCCTCCGCCGTGGAATGGTGAATATCTCTCTTCTGCGGTTATGTTATGATACACGCAACTGTGGGAACTCAACAGCTGCCAGTTCCTTTAGCGGGTATTGATCATCATCCGCATCCCAGCAAACCAGGATGTCAGCCCAGTTGGCTTTGTTTCTAGAAAGCCAGGACTAAAACTCATTGGTCTCCTGGTGATTGGGCCAAAGTCACCCAGCTGGCTTTCATGCCTAAGGCAGGACTAGAACTCACCATCTCCTGGTGATTAGCCAAAAGTCACCCAGCCGGCTTTCATGCCTAAAGCAGGACTAGAACTCACCATCTCCTAGTGACTGGGCCAAAGTCACCCAGCCGGCTTTTGCGCCTAAGGCAGGACTAGAACTCACCATCTCCTAGTGTTTGGCTCAAAGTTACCCAGTTCAGCTTTTGTGCCTAAAACGGGACTCGAATTCACTATCTCGTCTCTAAGTAACCTGTGATCTCTTTGCTCTCCCAGACAGGGATCCCATCGTAGGGAGAATGGCCAACATCACTCTCAACTTTGGGCCCCAACATCCTGCTGCCCATGGGGTCTTGCGCCTGGTTATGGTGCTGAACGGGGAGAACGTGAGGAAGTGTGACCCCCACATCGGCTTGCTGCATCGGGGGACGGAGAAGCTCATTGAATATAAGACCTACCTCCAGGTAAGAAGCGGGTAATGAATAGAGTAGAGTAGAGTAGAGTAGAGTAGAGTAGAGTAGAGTAGAGTATTTATTTACTTATTTATTTATTGGTTCGATTTATATGCCGCCCTTCTCCGGAGACTCAGGGCGGCTTACAGTGCGTTAAGCAATAGCCTTCATACTTTTGTATATACCTGCTTAGTAGGGCTTTCGCCCCCCCCCCAAGTGGTGTTCTTTTTTATACAAAGTCAACCTTGAGCCTGGTGAGATTTGAACTTGCAGTAATTGCAGTCAGCTTGTGTTACTTAACAGTGCTTTAGTCTGCTGCGCCACCAAGGCTCTTGTAGAATCACGGAAGAGAGTAGAATTATAGAGTAGAGTAGAATTATGGAATAGAGTAGAATTATGGAATAGAGTAGAATTATAATTATAATAGAGTAGAACTCGAATTTATTGGATTTTTTTTTAACAATTAAGTATTTTTTAAATTCAAAACTCCCGCCCCGCCCCCCAAAAGGGAAAGAGATACAAAAACAAAATAAAGGTAGATTAACAGAGTTGGAAGGGACCTTGTAGGTCATCTAGTCCAACCCCTGGTAGAGAAGACTCCCGGGGGGGGGGGAGTGCATAAAAATTAAAACCAAAATACAACCGAGTTTATGCACTGGGACTCGGATTTATGGCTCAGAAGCTGTCATAGGCAGAATCTTGAAGGCCTGACGGAATCCCGATTCTTAAAAAGGATTTCTTATTTTTTTTTTCTGTCTCAGGCCCTGCCGTATTTTGACCGGCTGGATTACGTCTCCATGATGTGCAACGAGCAGGCCTACTCTCTGGCTGTCGAGAAACTGCTGAATATCCAACCGCCCATAAGAGCTCAGTGGATACGAGGTGATTTAAATATTTAAGATATTGTAGTTCATATTTCCAGGAAGCGGGGGGGCTCCCAAGTGGCGATCTCAGCACCCTGCAATGCAGGCAGCTGTCATAGATACACTTACGACCGCAATGGAGCCCAAAATTTATGTGGTCAAGTGAGTTTGCCCCATTTTATAACCATTCTTGCCACCGTTGTTAAGTGAATCACTGCAGGGGTTAAGTTAGTAACCCGGTTGTTAAGTGAATCGGGCTTCCCCATCGGCTCGTCAGAAGGTCGCAAAAGGGGATCATGAGACCTTGGGACACAGCAACGGTCATAAGTATGAAGCAAAGCATTTGAATTTTGATCAGCCTAACCATGGGGACGTTACAAAGCTCGTAACTTGCGAAAAACGGACAGAAATCACTTTTTTCAGTGCCGTCGTCACTTTGAACGGTCACTAAATGAATTGTTGTAAGTCAAGGACTACCTGTAGATCATCATCATCTTTTAACTACCCCATAATTCCTTGTGGGGTGGGAGTCTGGGCCACTGAATGGAGCTAGACGAGTGTTTTAATGGCCGGATGCCCTTCCTCTCGCCGGTACGGAGTTTTGTTCAGCAGATAATATTCTCAGAGTGCCCAGAGAGAGAAATATCTGCCTCTACCTAGGATCGAACTCCAGTCAGCCTCCTGATTGTGAGGCCGGAGCTCCACCTCTGGGCTACCGCACCACTCCTCCGAACGGTCGCTAAATGAACCGTTGTAAGTCAAGGACTACCTGTAGATCATCGACGTCGTCGTCATATTTTAACGACCCCATAATCCCTTGCGAGGTGGAGTCAGGGCAACTGAATGGAGCTGAATGTTTACTGGCCGGATGCCCTTCCTGTCTCCAGGGCGGAGTTTTGCTCAGCAGATAATATTCTCGCTGTGCCCAGAGAGAGAAATATCTGTCTCTACCTAGGATCGAACTCACAGCCTCCCGATTGTGAGGCCGGAATTCCACCTCTAGGCCACCGCACCCCACTCCCAAGGGCTACCTGTAGATGCTCGTTGCCAAACGCCTGGATTTTAGTTGCTGTGGGGACGCAGCAACGGTTGTAAGCCGTTCAGGCGCTAACCCGGGTTTTTGCTTCCTAGTTCTCTTCGGAGAAATCACACGGCTGCTGAATCACATCATGGCCATCACCACCCACGCTCTGGACGTTGGGGCCATGACCCCCTTCTTCTGGATGTTTGAGGAGAGAGAAAAGGTAAACCCACCCAAACACACACACACACACACAATCCTGCTGGAGCAGCTCCTGAATCTACTTTAGGGACCCCTGTGTGATCCAGTAGGCCGGATGGCTAGATCCGGCTGTTGTGACCTAGGCTTACCGAGTCATTACAAGACACAATTAGTCCCCAAAAACCTTATTTTATTGTAAAAGCTGAGAATTACTTTCATTCCAAGCTGAGTCCCAATTAGTTGCAACAAAAGAAGTCCTTCGGGTTAATCACCAACCTTTTATCTTCTTTGATACCCTGCCAAAGGCCTTGCTTGGCAAAGCCCCACAGAATTCTGAACCAAACAAGAGATGCCGACTGGAAACAGAGTTAGCAACGTTGCTTTCCTGCAAAAGGCCCAAGTGCCTTTGTTTCTCTTTTAAGCCTTATGGGAGGGGCCAATCATCTCCTGGCCTTACTCCCGAGTCGTCCCTTTTGCTTTAGCTGCTCTTGACTTCTGCGCATGCGTGCACTAGGAACAGGCTCCTCCTGTTCCTCTGCTGTCTGACTGTGGCGGCTCCGGAGTCCGCGCATCACTCCCAAATAACCCTGGCCCCATCTCTGCCTCTGACGCAGAGCCCTCGTCCGGGCCTTCCCCTGACTCCAGGACTGGCCCATGTTCCTCTCCAGCCTCCTCACTGTCCGACTCCACTGCCAGCTCCTCAGGCTGCTGGCGGACCACAGCACCGGCCTCCTAGAAGCCAGGAAGCCGCGAGCAAGAGAGAAGGGGGACAGGG